ACCGTATTCCTTAAACAAATATATATATTTTGCAATGTGTGTCCTTTATGTTGCGTTCCCCGGAAAGTCCCAATTATCTTCCCTCTTGACTGTCATGATAAAGGGATTCCGGAGCCGCGACAACAAATTCGGATCCTTCGCTTCAATAATTGATGAACTTATAACTTGACTTTTGCCATTACCTGCAAACATGCAGGAGAAGATTCGAGAGCAATCGCTAATGGTCCTGACTGGGATACCACCGTCATCAGAACATCAGATTAAATAGCATAACATTATAAAGAAATATAAATATAAAATGATAAAGATAAATACATTGTTTTATTATTTTGTTCACACTGTTGTATTTCAGTTATAAAAGATATACAGCCTATAACCCTAACGGTCCATAACACTTCATTATTTGTCAGACAGGGTCACACAGGAGATCTTTCACACCAATCTGCACATGGATCGCAATCAACTTGGAAAAATGTATTTGCCCAACAAACATAATATTTTCAGCTCCTACACAAAGTGAATCCAAATTACAACAGGCAACACAAATCGAATCTTAAATGGCAGCATCTCCGTCAAACACTATCCTGGTTCAAAGGACGGCAGGGACTCGCAATGCCCAAAAACAAATAGCTTTTTTTTTTTCATTTTAAGGGATGATCCCTGACAAAATTTGGATGCAAAACCTGAACCACGTGTGCAAAGTGAATCTTTCTTTGTAGATCAGTTTAGAAACTATTAAAAAGGTAGAATGGGGATTCATTGCTCAGCTGAACAGCTCTGCATGCGAGAACTTTTCCAGACAAAATCTTCCACATTTGCTGCCCCAACACAAAACTTCCAGACTTCCATCAGTCCCGGTGACCTGGCGCAGGTGCAGCATTCCTATCAGGCAATCAATACCTTACAATATTGGGGTTCAGTCCTCTTGGAGTCGCAGAGACATGCAGGGTTCACCTGTACTCACCTGTCCTCCAGCTCAGTCTCAGGGGGAATGTCTCGGCCTCGCCCCTTCACTGATACTTATAGCCTCTGCTGGAGCCCTCTATGGAGCATGGAGCCCGGCTATGGGGTGGGGTCGTGTTGGGTCTCCACTCTTAGGTGGTGCATAGAAATTTGGGAGGGCGGAGACCAGGGGTCCACCTTAACTTTGGTCCACATACCTGACACAAGGATGGTTTAACCCCTTGACTTGGGGATGTGATGTGTTTACAGGCTGAGGAGGTTAAACTGGTTGGTGGAAAAGAAAGATGCAGAATGTGTTAGAGGTTCAGCAGCCTCCACCTGAGGTTTATATAAGGACAGATATTTCATCATACAGGAGAAGTTTCACCGCATAAGTTGCATTAGTGAAATAAATGAACTTTGCACGATATTCTAATTATTCGAGTTTCACCTGTATAAGGACGTATCGAGTATTATATGGGGTATCTGATTTGCACAGTGTTCTGTATTTCACAGACACAACGGATTTCAGGAACAACTGAACCGGTGACAACTAAGAGGGAATGTCTTCTCACCTCCTGTTGCATCTCCAGGACAGGAAGTGAAGGAGGCACAAACATCGATAAATAAACGGCATTGGAATTGAACCTTTCCCTATAAAGCAAAGAACAAGGTTTGGTGTGTGATGGTGGGAGGACAGGTGCACTTTATGCCGGTCCTTGCCCAGGTTCTTAGCGGCAGTCCTAGCTGTTTGTCTGAGATAACAGGTTGTCGCTGATCCGGTTCCTGGCTGGCACAGGGGAAGGTCACCGCCCTGGTAATGGAATCCCCCCGAACCTGTCAGTCAGCTCTGGTCTTGTATATGTTATCAGCGGGCGGAATGGCAGGAATCCAGAGCGGTGTCATTTCAGGTGTAGGGAGGAGAGCGCTCACATGGCCCCCATTCCCCAGCCTGGAGACACCAAGATGGGGCCACAGACCGAACCCTATCCAAAATCCTGCCGGGTTCCCCCCCTCCATCTCATCCTTGGAGTTGGGATGGCTACATAGAGGGCATTTTTCTGAGATTCTGAGATTTAAGGTTTTAATATTTTTGAATGCTCTGACACCTCACCCAGCACACATCCCCTATAGACAGGTCCTCTTTAATCTGCATTTGACACCCTGGTGAGGGACAAGGTGAGCTGGTCAAGCTGGTTCTCTTGTCAGCCTCCATTGTACGTTGCATAGAATGCATATACATCTATAGACGCTGACTGTTCTTATCTCTTCGGCTTTAAGGGGATGTACGCCTTTGAGTTTTGATCTTTGATCATTTACATTTTACTCATTGTCATTATATATACACATCGGGCAGCCAAATACTGAGAATTACAGGCAATAGTTTGCCTTTGCCCCTCCCACAATGGTGAGATTTCCTCCAGTAGTTTGTGCCTCTGCCCCTCCCACAATGGTGAGATTTCCCTCCAGTAGTGTGTGTCTCTGCCCCTCCCACAATGGTGAGATTTCCCCCAGTAGTTTGTGTCTCTGCCCCTCCCACAATGGTGAGATTTCCCCCAGTAGTTTGTGT